AATGCTTGTCAGACTGGCTGACAACACTTGGTTATAAAAGCACTGAACAACCTTCTTCTAATTATGATATCATATTATGACAGTAATTTGGGCAACCAGAGGAGAGACACGCTCACATAAACACAGGCAAGAAACAAATGCTTTGTAAAGAGTGCAAAAATACCAAATCTGACTGTTAGTCTGCTAAGCATTAGCCCATTCTAAGTTGTATGTAACTCTGTAACATTTGTAATAGAGTACTATTTAAAAAACAACCTTCTTTCTGCCACAAGTACAGTACTGCATGCCATTTACTGTAAATCACCCCTGTACAAAATCAGTGTAACTGCAACCTAAACTTTACGGCAATGAACTTAATCCCCCAGGGAAGCTTGACGCTTCAGAGTGACTTAAAAATGACATTTAAGGCATCCTTTACTGTCAGATTAATTCAACTGACAAGCTTTATATATGGGTAATTTAGAAACCTTGACTCTACAAGGCATGGCAACATAGAAAAGGCTGTGGACTTACATACTCTAACCCCATGTTTCATTTTTAATGGCATTGGCCTTAAAGACCAAGCCTAATCAAGATAGTCTTTTGGGTAATGGGTACATTCATAAAACCATGGATTGCACAAACCAACACTAGCCTTAAAGAAGACCAACACACATTTTTCAATGTTTTTTAAATAGCAATTAGGGTAAAAACACAGCTAAGCAAATTGGTTGTAAAACATTTTAAGTTTATAGGATGAAAAAGACCAAATACATTTCTTAAACTGGGAAAGACATAAAAAAATGACATTCAAGTAGATGGATATGTTTCTTTCTTTTTATTTCTACCCACAGTTAAACAAATAATGATATTCATTATAACAACTGGAATCCTGTGAAAATCAAGATGAGCAATTGACTTACACTAGCCCCCTGAAACAGATCCATGCCGAGTTCAGACCGAGCTTGTTTCTTATGACCATTTACACATCACTCTAGCACGGTTTCTCTGCTCCTATCAGCGGTCCACGATACAGCAGTTCTCAAAGCAGGAATTATGCAAACAAAAATGGTGGCACCCAAAATATTTAGGAATTTATGTGCCTGGATAGTTTCCTCCGCCCAAATTTCAATGAGAGCCTAGGTCTTGGCATCATCCCAGGTTGCACCTCACTCTTCTGATGCCATTTATTGTTAATTGACAGAAGTTTGTTTTGTAAACAGGTGAAGAAATCTGTAAATTGCAAAACTGGCCATGCTGGAAAACCAGCAAAATTAGTCAGCTTACTGTAAATAGGATATGACGCAGTCTGCTCACGTTCTGTTTATCAGAGAACTGAGCGACAGATGAACTGTGTCCTACTGTTGAACTAGTACTAGATTTAGCGCGGTCCGAGTGTGTCTGTCCCGGCCCAGTTCAGTTGCATTCCATTTACACTCAACAGTTATCTCGGTTATCGTGGTCGGAGCGTTCCTGACACGGTTACAAAAGGTAGTGTAAATGGAGCTTTTAGCTATAGTATGGAGTGACCAGTACAGTGAGAAAGTTTTAGAAAAATCTCTGAATAGAGTTGTAAAAAAAAATATGTATGTATGTATGTATATATATATGTATATATATATATTTTACATTTATATTAAGTATATTACAAAGTCTCCCTAACAATGATTAGACACTTTTTTTATGCCAACAAGTTGTTTCATACAACTGTTCAGAAACATATTATAAACATATTCGTGCTTGCATCCCACTGTAAATGTTTAGAGTTCATGAAATACTAGTCTTTCAATAGTCGTGGATAATGTAGAAGATAGTTTGTATATATGACGCATTGTTTATTTGATCAAAAATATCCTTTCAGCCAGAATTTATTTACTTAGTTTATTTTTACTGGATTTCATTTGGTAAAGTATACATGTAGCTAACTGCATTAAGCCTACTGCAAATTTTCTGCATTTTTCAGTTTGTTTATCGAATTTAGACTTGCATCAGAAATCAGTGCACCTTGAGGGATTTCCATCTGTCTGTCAACTGTCACTGGCAGATGAACATGCCAGAGGGCTGGAAAAGGTGCTTGTGCATGAGTGTGCATTTGTGTGTGGATGCACGTAAGAGAGCAGTTCTGTGTCCATCAGTGCTTGCCGATGTCCTGCAGTTGTCATGATAAACCTGTGACAGCTGCCATCCTGCAAGCAATGCTCTCTCCAACGGTGTGAAAACACACACACACACACACACACACACACACACATACACCTAATGCACGATGCTTCATTGCTTTCCTGAAAGTATGATGGCACCTCAGCAGGTCTCTGTTTGGCCTGTTGGGTCATTTACAGAAAGCTCCTTGACTGTCTAGTGGTGAAATGACTGTCTAGATAGCTGAATGGTCTGTCTGTCTTCCTGCCTCACTGCCTCTGTTTTCTTTCTGGTTTTTATTTCTTGGTTTTTTGTGGGAATGATTCAGAAGAGGGTAGATGAATGCTTGGTTACAGACAGATAACACATTTTTGTTACATCTTTATATAAGCAACTGTAACTTGGCACAATTCATCCACCAACCTTCTAGTTTGAATTGTTCATACACTCATTATCTGTATACATTTTATATCCATTTTGACCTTTTAGTGATATATTAGATACATTTTCCTATGTTGAGTGGGGTGGTTAAATGGTTATACAAAATAATATTTAGGTCAACATCTTTAGTTACCCTGCAGTCTATTTTAGAATTAAACCAGCATCAGATTTTCTTAAATTTTAACATATGTGCTCATGTTAAACCTTGATAGCTGTTGGGCTGTTTTCGCTGGTAGGATGACAGTGAAGGTTAGATGATTAAAACCTAGACACAGTTGTCTATTCCTGCAGCACAATCATTCTAATTAAACGTCATACTAGTTTGTTCCTGAATGACCCTGACATCAAACTTGTTGAAACAATATAAACTATTGTCAAAAGCTTGGGCCACATCAAAAAAATAAAACACTTTTAATGACATGTCATATCTGGTAGGGGTAATAAAACAAACTTCCAAAATTAGCCCAAAAGCTTTCTAAAGGCTGCAGGAGGCCAGTGTTGATGTGCAACTTCAAACAACATGGCTGTACGTATGTATTTTAGCCATTCTGTAAGACGTCAAGCTGGGAAAATCCCCAACAAATTCGCCCAATACATCCTTTTGCAACCTTATTACAAATGTTGTCTAACCATTCCACCCCTAAAACTCAACAGTTGAATAACACACCAGCAATTTACCCTCTTCAAAATTAATCATAATTATTTATTAATCTATAGTGCTTGCTTGTATCTTTATTTCTGTATCCCTTTTAGCCTCTAATATTTCCTGTCACCTTTCGGTGTGCTGTCCACTTTGTAAAATAATTTGCTTCTATATATATATAACTATATATAAGCAAAATATATTTTGTGTGTTTGTAGGTGTGTGTGTGTTTACTGGTGATCATCTGTTGTCAGATGCAAGTCTTGTTTTTGAGTAATTCTCTTTATCCATTCCTGTGGGTAGAGTTCTGCTTGGACCCTTACATTATCTCTGTCATCTGTACATGCATCTACCCCCCCTCTCTTCTCTTTAAGACAGCATTCTCATAGATGGGCCTAAAGCATGTGCATGTACACCTGACAGTGCCTGTCTGAAACTCCTATAATGGATGTCGTTTTCAGCTTCTCAGAAAGTGCACTTTTAGAATGACATCTGGTGTATATACAATATATGTCTACTAAATGCCATCAATATCAACATGCGATGGGTTGTGGAGCAATCTGGTGTCATTCAAATGTGTACTTTCTGGCAGGTTGTGAAATACTTGTCTGCTATAAGAGTGTGCTGCAAGAATTATTGCCACTTTTATGTATAAATTATACAGGAATAATTTATACCAAGACAACAATATGACTTTTGGGGAAAAAAAACAACATTCAACATTGTGTTTTTTTGGTCAATGGGACTCTGGCTAGACACATCTTGCTTTGACTATATAAATAATGCAAATAAATGAGTTTTCCTTATGGTTTTAAGTTTTAGCTAACTTTTTAACACATCTGTAGATCAAAAAAGCCAGAGTACCATTGACTCAATAAGATCCAATGTAGACTGTTTTTTTCTCAAGAGTATCTGTATAAATTATTCTTATAATTTATGCCACATACACAGCGCAATCCATGTGTCTTTATCTGTTACACAGTAATCAGGACTACAACAAGGTATGCAAGGCTATCAATCAGATGGGATTGACAATAATGGAAAAATCTTGAGGAAAACATAAGTGCATCTTTTTAAAATGTCTTCAAAGCAATTTGAAGTTAAATACAATCTGATTCTAAATCTGCCAACTGGCAATCAATTCAATCAAAATTTCCTAGGTGGTGATTGGAGGAGAGGAGAGCGGAGCTAACCTAAGAAAGTGTAGCATATGATTAATTTTGTAAGAGGAGAGGACAGCAGCTGTGGGTGTTACAGGAACTGCAGCCTAACCCCTGAACCCAACTCCTAATTCTAACTGGCATTAATAAGCACTCTAGAATAAAAAGACTGTTGAGCCATGCCATGGAGATGCTGTTTTTCATATTTCATATCTAAGAAGTGATGTGAGACCTCCATATTTTCAAAATATGGTTTGCTAATATGATCTGACAGTTGATATTGTGAGACAGTCATTCATCTCTAACATTCAATAACATGCATAGATCCGAAACATGGGATACTAAAAATTAAGGCGACAGCAAAAAAGCCACATCATAGCGGGAGAGAGTTGGGGAGTTGGGCTGGCTGACTTGGAATTTTGAAGCGATGTTAGGCGTATTATGAAGTAAATCGTGTAATGCTAATTTGGTAAAGAATTTGAGTTAAATTAACTCATCAAATCTTAGGAAAATGAACAAATCCAAATCAAGAGTTTTAATTTTATCAAATATTTCTAAAAGAAAAAAGTCCGCCCCCTCAGTCCCTCCTCCTCTCCCTAACCCAGGTTTTCTATTTGTCACTCTGATTTGATTGACAGCTGAGGACACATGTGGGGGCACTGTGAGGGGCGGCAGTGGGGTGGTGACCAGTCCCGGTTACCCCGGCAACTATGGTAACCAAGCCGACTGTACTTGGATCCTATTGGCCGAACCTGGAGACACCATCTCTGTCATCTTTACAGACTTCCAGACTGAAGAAAAGTACGACTACCTGGAAGTGGAGGGTTCAGAACCGCCGACCATTTTGTGAGTTTTTCTCTGACTTTCTATTATTTGTTTGTGATGCTTTTCGTTCAAGTGGGTATTGTGACAAAATATGCTGCTTTTCATTTGGTCTGAACTTCTAAGTCCTGCCAATTATGACATTCAACATCAGGCATTTCATTATAATTCACCTTCTCAAAACTGATAACGGGATCTGGTAACAATACTGTACATATATGTAGTTGATACTGGATTGGATGTTATTCTGAGTGTAAAGAATAATTGAAAAAATATATATTTTCACTGATGCTCAATGGCTGGTTTACATGCACGCCCCAACCTGTCACATGAAACTAGACAATCCTGTCTATGCATTATGTTTATTCATACAGTGTGTTTCAGATTGCAACCTTTTTTATTTTTTTATTTGAATAACTGAAACATCTACCAATTTAAAGCTGCATTATTTTGTTACTGTCAGTGTCCAATGGCTGTTTGTGGAAGATGTGGCTGACGTGCAGTTATTGTTTTTATATTGTAATACTTGGGTTGCTGTTTGTGTAAGTGTTCATTAATTTTGGTGAAAAATAAAAACAGAGATAAAGAGTACATGTAGAAATTACCATGTTATAATTAAAACTGGTTAAAGTTATTTCTGGAGTTCTTATGAAAACAATAGGGCACATATTTACCAGTTTACATTTTAGAAAAACTGCAGAGAAGAGGTGAGTAGCAATTTCATGTTGAATATGTATACAGTGTGTAAACCTACAGTGGGGCAGTTGTATTGTCTTAATGTTTGGCCCCAAAAATCTGCAAAACCATTTTCAAAGTTAGGAGAGGATAACCTTAGTTGTAAAAAGTAGTTTTTACCTTTATAAAACAACTTGTTTTTGCAAAGATGCAAGCAGGATGGAATGAAATAGCTAAACACTAAACAAAGGAACACTGTCTGCAAACATAAGCCTGTTGGTCCTTATCTATATTGTAGTAAAAAAGAAAAGTTTGCTTGACCTTACTAATCTGACATTTCAGTAGCTGCAGAGTTTTTATAGACCAATTTTACACAACCAAGCAGTACAACAAAAGGTTATGAGTAATAAAATTAAGTTTGGTCTTAAGAAAGAAATATTATGTTACTAAAGACATAGCTTTAAGTTTTATGTTTGTTTTTTCTCCTCAGAATACAGCAGCTGGTTTTTACATGAAGCATATGTGAATAGACATAAATACTTTGCAAATACTCAAAAAATGCAGGGAATACATAAACAACACAATATAACTTCAATTAAATTTAACTTCTGTAAAATGTAACTGTCCATTTAGAAAGCAACCTTGATTGACAATCAGTTGCACATGCCATTGTGCAAACTGAATAGACTACAGGTGGAAAATTTAGGCAATTAGCAATTAGCTAGACACAATAAAGGAGTGGCTCTGCACGTGCGAACCACACACCACTTCTCAGTACTTATACTTTCTGGCTGGTGTTTTGGTCACGTTTGAATGTTGGTGGTGTTTTCAAACTCGTGGTAGAATAGGATGGATTCTACAACCGACACAAGTTGCTCACTTAGTCCAGCTCATGCAGGATGGCACATCAATGCTGCTAAAGCTGTGGCAAGAGGGTTTGTCCAGGTCTGGGTGGAGATCCCTCAGGAGACCCTCCACCACCTCATCAGGAGCATGTCTAGGAGTTCTAGGGAGGTCATACAGGCATGTGTAGGCCACACACATTACTGAGTAGGGCTGGACAATATGATCTCAAATCAATATTACGATAAATTGGGCAGTTTTACTTACTAAGAATAAATACACGATACATGCTCCTGCTCCTCTATCAGAAATATAGGCATATTCAGGAAATGCAACTGATCTAATTTATTTATTGAATATAGTATTACATTACATATTATTTTCAATAAAATATTTAAAGTCTTGTAACCATTTAATGTTAAACAATCAACAATGTTCTCAATGAACGGGAGAAAAAATTTTACAGCTCTTGAAAATATTTTTGCGCAAAAGTAATGGTCATCTTTGAACTCAGCAGCATGGTTGTGCTATAGCTTGGTGCTTGGATGTGTTACTTTGGGTATTCCCGACAGTTTTCCGATAAACTTTGTATTTCATGTTCTTTTGCTCAACATCTATGGCGTAATTTTGGGGTAACCGAAGCGTGCAGTGAGAAGATTGTTCATCGTTTAAGCTTGCACACCGTCACTCAAAACCGGTCTGCCGTTCTCTCAACTCTTACAACATGCTCTCTACTTCTTCTCTGCGCACTCAGCTTCATCTCTGCTCTCGCTCAGCTCCAGAGGTTTAGCTGATGTAATTTCGTTTACATTCTCTTTGTTTGCACTTCTGACTTGATCAGTGGAGTCAGGTGATTACACAGATGCTGCAGTATCTTAAAGGGGAAGGAAGTATCAACAATCCTTGCAAACAGGAAGAACAGCAGAATTACGTTTTTTTGTTTTACCGACATGAGAAAATTATCCCGGGTTATCGTAGTGAATGACGATAACAGTAAAAATGGTTTATCGCCCCAAGCCTAATAATAAGCCTAATTTTTTTTACCTGTTTTTAAAGACATTACATCAAAGTTAGATCAGCCTGTAGTGTGTTTTTACCACTTTCATTTTTTGTGTAACTCCAAATACACACATCCGTTGGGTAATAAACACATTTGCATTGATAATGGTCAGCACATTCGTCTTTGTACAAATCAAAGAGATTCAATAAGAATATTTTATTCATTCAGATCTAGGATGTGTTGAGTGTTCCCATAATTTATTTTTTATTTTTTTTATTGTATGTGTATTTGGATCATACGTCAAATTAGGATTAACTGATCTCTGACGCTTCAACTTTAAACAGCCCTCCATGTATTTTCCAGTTGTTCACTCATAACAGCACTTTATTGCTCCGGCTGTTTATTGATTGTTGGTAAATTAGGGTATTGATCAGACATTGCCATTGCCGTAACCAATTTGAATCTAATCATGGATAGGGATATTAGAGTGTGTGCATGTGCATTGATTTGGAAGTAATAATGGTAACTGCTGCCAGGCAAGCCTAAGCATTACTTGGGTTTACCTGTTCGAGTGATTTAATGTTTACTTGCTAGAAGTCTCAGTAAAAGAGACAAAGCGTAAACAAAATTATTGCAGAAACATAGCAACTACAAAAATTACATTTTATTTGTTTTTATTCCATACATAAATGCATACATAAACAAGCACTACGATTTTTTTTATATATATATTTAGCATACTCTGCAGACCTCTTTGTTAAGTACTAAGGGCAGCATACCCATTATTACCTTTACAATGACATTAAGATTTCCAGGTTTGCTTCACTCTATTTGAAATTCCTTGAGACCTTCATTCAAGGAGGCTTTAGAGCACCTTACCAGCAACCTGACAAAAAGACGCAATCTGGTGTCGCTTAGCTACATCTACCAAAACAGGGCAAGTTAAAAAATCTCTTTTACAGTTTAAGGGTGCTTAAAAAGTACATCAACAGCAACTTTTCTTTCATCTGAAAAGCTGGCACATAGAATGAATTAATAAAAGACAGCTGACACATCTTCCAACTTGTTTGTCCCAATTTTGCTAAAGCAAAATACAGAGAAAACTGTTAAAAGACCATTTTCAATATTTAAAAGATTGTCTGGCTATTGAAAGAATGCCAATTGAAAATGCAACTGGTTTAGAACTTTTTTTCCCACTTTCCTTTACTGTAGATTCTTAAGTTAAGTTATATGGATCCATGTCAAACAGAAAATAAATACTTTCACAGTACTTTGATGCACAAGGCAGAACGCATTCTCAGAACCTAATGAGTGATTTTTTTTTATCATTCTTTTCAGTCTTTGTTAGACCCACTAAGAACTGCAAATTTACCTTCTGATACTTTACATAACAGGGAATCGGCCCACTGACATTTTGCTTTGATTGAGAATTCTGACATACTGTTGTTAATCTGCTGTTTTTCTTTAGCTTTATGCCTCCTCACATTAAATTATAGTCAAAAGTAGGTCTGTGTGTTTATTTCATCAGGCTGCAGCCGTTTATTTATTTTATTGTTTCTGTCTTATCAAGCACATCTGCCTTTTCTGTTCTTGTGAAAGTTTTTGGAACTTCATGATAGAAAGCCGTACAGGCCTCTCCATACCAGTGAAATGTAGACACCAAGTATTTATCTACTTCATCATGACTGTTTGTGGAAAAAAATCATTACATGGAAGCAACATTAAAACATATTTTTTTGTTTTTGTTGTTGATTGTCACATCATCTTTACTTTACTCAGATTTTACCTGCTGTGTCACAAAGACTCAGCATATTTAAGGATCAGAATCTTAACCAATAATATCTGTTTCAGAATTAAAACCTTTTAACCTATCCTGTTCTTTTATATCCACGAAGTTTTAGCCTGCCTTTTAGAATAATAAAAAAATGGTGCTAATATTCCCAGGTCCATTGGCAATGTTTGGAAAAACACTAATTATCAAAATGCTAATTTCAAAGGAGCAGAGGAAGCTAACAGCTGATACTCTGATATAAACACGTGAAAGAATTTCTTTATCAGTTGCTGCAGGTCTGCAGTTTTTTTCACACACCAAATTATATGGATACATGTTCACCAGCATTTCGACTCAGAGGCCTATAGGCTCGCTGTCACTTGTTACACACTTCCACAGACCTGCACACTCACCAAGCCTCTCCTGTCTTATCAGCATGCGAAAAGGTGTGTTTGTGCCTATGAGACAAGTATATCCCTATGAGCTAAATGCCTATAATCCTTCTGAACGCTAGACACACTGATACATGAGCACACACACACGTTTTATGTTTTGTTGTGTTAGAGTCAGTTGCCCTTGAAACCAAGAAAGCATCTTTAAAGAGAAATATTTCACTTCATTCCATGTTTACCTACCCTCTTCTGCCTCTACAGTAACTTTTCCCCTTTTTTACAACACAAATATTTCTACATAACCACTGAAAGTCACATACTGTTGAGTGTTTAGATGTAAGTG